ACCCCGCCGAGAGTTTCCAAACTGTCCATCCCAAGCTTTCCATGGTACCAGTGGGGAAACAGGCTTAGAGCGAGTGCAGTTTGCACACAACCCGTGAGCCCATGGCAACGCGGGGACTAGGACGGCTGCGAGGGCAGGCGTCCGGGGCCGGCTGGGCAGGTGGGGCCCGCAGCCTAGCCCACGTCCGGTGCCCATTCTGCAGCTGGTGAGGCAGTGCAATGAGGGAGCCCACAAGATGGAGCGCACAGAGCAGATGTACACACTGCACACACAGCTGGACTTCGGCAAGGTCAAGGTAGGGGGTCCGTCAGCACCGCCGTGTCCTACCCCACCCTCCCTGGCCGTCCCAGGCTCTTAGACCACCCTTAGCACCTCTGCTCTTCAGGCTTCCCGTGGGAGCGCTCAGTAGGTGGACAGCCAGCTCCTGGGCCTGGTGGAAGCGGGGCAGCCTGGCCCCGGTCCCTGGGTGGGATCTGGGCCCTGCCTGGCTCAGAGCTGCCTCACCCTGAGCACTTGGCTGACCGAATGGCCTCTTGTGGAGATCGGGACGCCTCACACCCTGTGCGGCCCTGGGGATGGTCAGTCCCCAGTCCTCAAAGGCAGGAATCCATCCCCACCGGCAGCTGCATGTCCTGACCCCCCCCCGGAGATTGACCGTCTGTCTGTCCCCCAGTCCCTCCCTCTGATCTCCGCCTCCCGCTGGCTGCTGAAGCGCGGCGAGCTCTTTGTGGTGGAGGCCGGGCTCTTCCGGAAGCTTGCCAGCCGGCCCACCTGCTACCTCTTCCTGTTCAATGACGTCCTGGTCGTCACCAAGAAGAAGAGGTGAGCCCCACCCGTGGGTGCCAGTCTGAGTGGCCCTGCCTTGTGCAGTGGGCGACAGCAGCGGCCTTGGGGCCAGGATGAGGGCTGGAGGCCAGGAGGGCATCAGGGAGCCGACCTGAGCCTCCTCTGGCCTCAGGGTGGGGGTGCACAACAGGACCCCCACCCAGCCTGGTCTGCCCATGGCAGCGGCCTGGATCCCCCACGCAAGGACACACATGCAGCTTCCACCCCCCGCAGGACCCAGGGCGGCCGTGTCTCTGGCTGTGCGGCTCTGGCTCCCGCTTGCAGACCTGGGCCTGCCCGCCCAGCCACCGGGACCTGGAAGCTTGCGGCCTCTATTATCCCGGGTGGGAGGATGGGAGAGCAACTCTAGAGCATCCTTCTGGCTGCCTGGCCCCCCACCGCTTTGGGGACCTGGGTGGACAGGGCCGAGGGGGACCCGGCTGCACATAGACCTGCCTTCCGTCTCCCGCAGTGAGGACAGCTTCGTGGTCCAGGACTACGCCCACGTGGACCATATCCAGGTCCAGAAGGTGGAGGCCACAGAGCTCTCTCTGCCAGGGGGCGGCAACCGTAGCTCGTCCGTGCCACACCCCTTCCAGGTGACCCTGCTGCACAACAGTGAGGGCCGCCAGGAGAAGATCCTGCTGTCCTCTGACTCCGCGTAAGTCCGGGAGGGCTCCCCGGAGAGGGCGGCTCTGTGTGCTCTGTGAGGACAGAATTTCCATCACCAACTGCTCCGTGCCGGCACTGTACCAGGTGCTAGGGACAACGCTGTCCTCACCAAGTTCACATTCCTGGGAGGGGGACACCCCAGCTACAAAATCAGCAGCTGAGGCTTCCGGTGTGTCTGAGGGGTAGGGACCAAGGAGGAAAGCAGGCAGGAAAGGGAGCACAGGGTGGGGGCTGCGGAGGAAGCCTCATCTGTGGGGCTGCGTGAGGAGCAGGGCCCCAGAGGAGGCACAGCCGTGCAAAGGCCCTGGGGCAGGAGGCACCTGGCACGGAGCAGCTAGAGGACAGCGGGGCTGGGACCCGGGTGGCCAGGGGCTCAGCACACAGAAAGGTGCAGGCCCTGAGGGAGCCCAGCAGATGGCCTTTGCACTCCCTCCAGCACGGCCCCCTTTCTGAGTGGGAAACTGAGGCCTTGTATGTCAAACAGCAAACTGACCAGAGGCAGGGGGCTCAGAGCCCAGTGCCAGGAAGTGGGGCAGCCTGCGTTCCGGCCGTGACGCTGCCACCTGACCCTGACCCCAGGCAGGTGTGGCTCAGGCTCAGCCTGCGCGCTGGTCCTTCTCAGGCTTTGTGACTTCTCACGCCTCGACCCCCAGGACGGGGCTGGGGAGGCCCAGAGGGGAAGCCTGCTTACAACTTCCAGTCCGCGGCCAGGCTCGTGAAAGGGTGCCCAGGCACCTGAGCCTGCGTCACCACTGCCTGTCCCACCCCGAGGGCTGTGGGGCGACTCTCAGAGACACCGTGGGAGCCCGCGTGACCCCCATCCTCTCACTGTGCCACACTGGGGGTGGGGTGCTTGATGCCAAAGTCACCGGACTGGCAGGGGTGGCCTCGGGCCATGCTCACACTCTGTCCCCAGGAGCGACCGTGCCCGGTGGATCACCGCCCTCACGTACAAGGAGCAGCAGTGGCTGGGAACCACCAACAAGGGAGGTGAGCGCCCGCCCCACAGGAGCAGGGCTCGTAGCCCCTTCTCCGGCCCTGGTCGGGGAGGGTGTTGGCCAGGAAGGGGAGGTATCCTCCGTATTTCTGTCCGTCCTGCAGCCTGACCCTGGGGTGGGCCTGCCCAGGTGAGGGGCACTCGCCACGCAGACCCAGCTGTCTCGGGGCCTCCCCTCCGTGAGGTGGGGAGACAGTGCTGCCCTGTGCCCACTGGCTGGTGGAAACTGAGACTAGAGAGCTGGAGCGTGTGGCCCACAGATCTGTTCCCCCAGCTCCAGCCCTGCCCCCGGCCCTCAGCCCCCGGGAGCTGGGAGCTGGGAGCACCCTCTGCCCACACCGGGCACTGACCCAGAAGCAGGCCCATCCTGCTGCCTGCGGAGGGGCTGATTCAGCCAGAGGAAAGCGGCCACGGCCACGTGCTGGGACACGGGAACGGCGCGGGGGCTGTGTCAGGAGGTGGAGCCCTTCGACTCGGGACTGGAAGGACAGTCCCGCCNCCCGCCCCTGACGCCTGCCTCTGTCCCCAGACCTTCCCCAGGTGGAGGTCACCAAGGCCTACTTCGCCAAGCAGGCGGATGAGATCTCACTGCAGCAGGCGGACGTGGTGCTGATCCTGCAGCAGGAGGACGGTGAGCGCTCAGGGCGGGGAGGGCATGGGGG